GTTTCTGTCTCTCGCTAGCGTCATCTAGGATGTTGCTATTGAACTGCATGGCGACGTTTGCGAGGCGCAAATACATTACTCGTTACCAGCTGAGACTTCAGCTCGTCCATTCGTGCAACGAACACCTCAGCGCTGGTCGGTGGCCTCCCTCGTGGACGTTTTGAGGGGTCCATTCCAGAGTTCTCGGTGTCCATCTGTCGTCTGCCCTTCTCGGCATATGACCAATCCACCGATGTTCGTCTCGAAGACGTATTCCGCTGGATCGCAAAGACAAGACATTCAACTCATAACAATGCGAAGTCCTACGAGATGCTGAGTGCGTCGATTGTACTTCAGAAGACGTCGTTCCACCGCTCTGAAGGCTGCTCGGAATGCCTTCGATCCTACCGTCAATTGGTTTGTGGTTGCCTTTAGAAGCCGAAAGGCGACCCAAGCTGCTCTTCGCGTCCTGTTTGGTTCTTCTTTCAGATCGTTCTCCATGTTCATTGAACATCCGAGATATACGTAAAAAGACGTCTCCGCGTTTGGCAAGTCTTCTGATTCCATTTTCTGATCCTCAAAAAGCGCTCTTCATGAACTTCTTTCCGTTGATTCGCAGTCCTATCCGCTTTCTTACTTCGTTTAGTTCTTACAACATCGTCTCCGCTTCTCTGATACTCCTCCAGAAGAGACCAATGTCGTTCACAAAATGAAGGTTCAAGAATCTCCCATCAGCTTGTATACCTTTCTCGTTCCAATACGGTAATCATTCCCCACTGCAAGGCGGCGGTAAACGGCTTTGGCGACATCGTGTCGTCTTATCGAACCGCCTTCAAAATCTATATGCTAAGGGGACAATGGAAAAGCTGTACCATTGTACACCAGTTCTTGTAGCTGTCGGCCAATATACGTAAGATAGCTCAACTCCTTGGTCTATAAACGCTGACAGTATGGCATTAGTCTCGACGCTGTCAACCGCTTTCTTATAGTCGACAAAGATTAAGACGAGAAGTATGCGGTATGCCTCTAATCCTCGAAACTGTCTGGATGTGCCCCACACGGCTGAATATCTTGCGAAATACAGCTTGTTCTGTAGATAGGACTTCATCCTGTGTCCTGATATGCAAGTGAGAATTTTCGTGAAGAGCTTATAAAGCATGCTCAGCAGGCATCTCGGACGGTAGATCCGAAGATCCTCCCTATCGCCTTTTTCGGGAAGGAGGATTTTTTAGGAGGTTCACCACTTATCGGGGATCCTTTTCTTTTGAGGATAAGACGTTAGATGTACCCCAAATATTTTGTGCAGGCGATGTTCTCCAGCTCGTAAGAAGTCGGCCGAAATATGGTCCGACCCCGGAGCCGTGAATGCCTTCATGATCTGAATTGCGGCGCGTAATTCAGCAGGTACAATCCGTGGGGTAATTGTCCAATGGGGATAAGGAGGTTTGACACGCGTGTTGATGAGAGGAAGTGATTGGTGTAGAACCGCTTCGTGATCGATTCCATGTTCTGTCGGAAAAATATGCAAGTCCCATTTTCGGCTAAGCGGAACATGTTCGAGAAGTTCCCTACAGTACCTCTTTAGACTTCTCCTTCCTTGTGCTGTTCCGAAATTTTCGATTGTATGTACTTTCGAAGGTCTTCTTACAAAGCTGCTCAGCAAAACTGGTATTGGCTACTAGTCGCTAGAGATGTGATGCATTCGAATCCAGCCTCAGTGCTCTTCTCCTCCCTAGCAGATCCTTGGCGTCTTTAAAAATTCGTTCCAAGCTCCTTATTCGAATTGAGGCACTTTCAACACAGGTCCTCAGTCCTTTGAGAAGTAGGTCGTAGTTGTCCAGTGGCCAAATCTCATGACTCTATGCTTTCTTCTGACAACACCAATTTCGCATTGAAGTCACCCACGACCGTAGAAGTCTTTGAGGAAGACTTCCTGATGTTGGAGAATAGCAGTTGATGATAGTGATGGTTTTCTGATGCAGGGGACGGACTTGAAGGATAGCCAGGCGAGATGATAAGATCTTATAACAATTGAAAAGATGGACAACAGATGGGCGTACGACAAATCCAACGCCTCCATCTTCCGTAATTGACCTTTCTCATTACGAGTGATGTGTGCGCCATCACTCGGCTGCCTTACGTCCGTCTTCTTGAATTTGTTTGATGCAAGGCGATTACGTGGTAGTCAATAGCCCTGCAGGTGGAGACTGTCCTGGCATTGTGGATGCAGAGCATGAGCCAATTTTCTGGCGTCCTGTGCAATCTGACACTGGTGTTGATGACATCCGACACTGGAGATGCGATGCAGTGTGCAGGGCTTCCTTTCCTTTTACATGCTGAACAAGCAATAGAATTCTCACCAAGCTTAGCAGCCTTGCCAGGGCCTGTTAAGCTTTCACCATAGGCAATCGCTGACCTATGTGGAAGGAAATCGCCTAACGATCAGCCAGATGGTGGTGTTTCTGGCATCGGCTACTTCAAATTGGGCATCCGGGGAGCCGGAGGCAAACTCCTTTTTAGATTAGGAGATGTTGCTGGAGGATAAGCCGCCGCTATACTTCGCAAGCGACACCCTGAGTCACTCCGCGCCACGATGAGGCGGTAAGGGCTTACGGCGGTTCGTAAAAATTGGCCCTTCTAATTTTGTATTGGCTAGGCTTGTCAGAACATGTTTACATGTTTTCCAATTTACAAAAATTGAAGATTTTGGCTTCTCATTTTGATCTCATTGTTTCTCTCATTACTCTTCCACCTTCCCCGTTCCTTTATCTAAACGTAAGCCTTTATGAATGCCTTTGCGCCTATACTTACCTATACTTGCCCACCTCATACTTACAATCACATCGGTAGTTCTTTTGCAGAGAGTGTTTCTATGAAAAAAGCAACTTTGTAAAGAAAAGATCTTATTTATCGTACATATCTTGTCATAAAGGACTTGAAAATCAAAATGTTTAGCTAAAAGCGTAACAAGTGCTAGGCTTTTTTCTTGACCTGCTTGATCTACCGGCGTCAATTCTTTAATGATTCACTTACTTAACAACACGCTTCAAGATGTAAAAAATTTAGCAAAAGAAAAGCTTTCTTCGAGAAGATGTTGAAAAAACAAGAGAGACCCTTATCCTGCTGGACTCGGAATCTCGGAATAGCTTGGAAGTTATTCCTAAAATTTGGCTAACGCATTGAAATCTTTTGATCAAGACTAAATATAATTAAAACTTCTTAAAAACTTATTTACCCTA